AAACACTATAGGCATTCAAATGCATGTGTCACATCTTAATTCATTAATAAAATCTTGCAACATCAGCCCTACTAAGGCCAAATGTGTCATGTGTGATATTGAATGTTAGCCCACAACTTCAAGAATATTTGAGTTTATTAGCTACATCTAATAACTATTTGCATATAATTTTTGCCACAAATTCATCTATGTTCCTATCAGAGCTTCCACCTTCATCAACTGCCTCTTTGATTAATTTCTTCCAGCTCTCTGAATTACTTTTGATATCCAAACTTTTCTCACCTTCCATAACTTCTCTTACACATCGTTCAATCTCTTCCTTTTTGATAATGCCATGTTTATCCACTCTAACTCGTATTCCTACCTTCCACACATCTTCTACAAACTTTGCATTAGTTGGTTGGTCTGTCCATTGTGGCATTGCTACCATTGGCACCCCCAAGCTAAGTGCCTCTAGCGTCGAGTTCCACCCACAATGTGTTATAAAACAACCAACTGCCTTATGAGCCAAAACTCTCAATTGAGGGCTCCAAGACACTACTAATCCTTTCTCTAATGCCTCTTCAACAAAGTTGGTAGGAAGCTTCTTTTGTTCTGTTTCTCTAACAACCCACAAGAAGAACTTGTTGCTTCTCTTTAGACCCAATGCTATTTCCTCCATTTGCTCTTCTCCTAAGGCAGCCAAGCTTCCAAATGATATGTAAACAACTGAGGCTGGTTCCTTAGAGTCTAGCCATTTAATGCAAGCATCAGTATCTGGTTTGAATAGGTTGATACCATAGTCCTTATCATCCTCCAACCTTTTGTCAAGATAAATTGAGGGAAGAGTTGGTCCAATAGTCTTGATTGGTTTATAGCTTGACATCCATCTGATTACCTGTTAGAAACAAGCAACATGTTTAGTAGTATAGAAAATTTCTTTTTTGGGCAAGAATTAGAATGTTTATCATGTATGTAACATATGAACTAATTAAGACTAACAAGAGTTTGGATGAATTGATACCCACTAACTAAAAACCCTTGGTTTTGAGTTGAAGTTAAGAGGTCAAACCTCTATCATGTCGAGTAGCTACTCATCCAAAATATCAAAAAAAACATATGAACTAATTAAGACAATAGAAATGTTACTAGAAAATTAGTATACTCAATTATTATGAAGGTTTTAACTGCAAAATGTTGATAACAAAATCCAGATTTTAAAGTCAGTGAGTACAAATATCGCTAAACTCTTTCTAATAAAAAGGAATTAATAAAAAGTAATTTATAATTATCTACCCTTAAGATTTTTAAATATTAACCTCAAAAAATGTACTGAAGTTCTTTGAAGTTAAACTTACCTCATCTTCCAACATATCAAGAGTGTTACAGAAGACCAAACTTGCTTCTTCCAAATTCGTGAACTGAGAACGTACAAGGTTGCCTAGGCCAGGATATGCTTCTGTATCACGAACAAAAGATGGCAAATCACTTACTTCTAGTGCCGGCATTGAAGGTAATTTAACAACAGGCTGTTCCAATGGAAGTTTCAAAGTCCCCTTGTGGAAATGATAATAGATGGCATTAACAGCCCAAGATTGAGTGAAGAAGGGAGCTGCATCTATGCCTGCACTTCGAGCCACATCTAAAGTCCAGGGGCTACCCGAATCATATACGAGGAATTTTATAGGATGTTGGGAGCTCTTCTTCTTCTCAATGAGCTTGGCTAGCTTTCCTGGTATTATTGTTGTGTAAAGGTCAAGATAATCATCAACCCCAGCTACATTTTCACCTTCTTCGAATTCGATTGGTTCAATGTTGATGGAGCTTTCCGAGAGTTGCATTGGCTTGTTGGTGGAGGTGATGGCGAGTAGGGTCACTCTTAGGCCTTTTGAGGCCAATCTCTTGGAGAATTGGAGCATTGGGTTTATATGACCTTGTATTGGAAAAGGGAAAACTAGGACGTTGCTAACTTGGGTCTCACATAAGCTTGGCTTTCCCTCCATTTCCCTTCAATACTCTTTCAATGCTCTTTCTGTGTTAGAGGCGAATTTATAGAATGAAGAGGGTGTTAATGTCCCCTCCCCTAGGAGATCTTTCTTAATTTAATAATTATTTTTTGACAATTTAGTTTAATGTAGACCGTAAAATACATTTCAACATCAAAAAATTAAAAAGGGGAATTGAAAGGTAGATGAAGGTACCAAGTCTAGGGGAATTGAAAGGTAGATGAAGGTACCAATTGTCTAGCGGTTGTTGGAAGCCCATATCTCAATAGATAAAAAGAGGCTATGCAGCACCCACCCCTTGTGACAAGGATGTTCTTTTTTTTGGAGCAACATGATTAGACTTTTTGAATTTATCTGTTTGTCTCTTGCATTTCTGCGTCTGCACTTAAATGAAAACGGAAGACATGTTGCATGAAAAAGACAAATTTGATTCCAAAGAGGAAAAATGTTCTAGGCATGCTTCCAAGTTTTTCTAGATGGACAATCAGAAAAAAAAAAGGGTGCCTTCCACGTAATTGTGATTTCAGATCACACACAAATTATTAGTGATTTGTTGTATAGCGTCAAATATACAATTGTGACGTATAAACCTTTTCCAACACATGAAGGTCACGAATTAGTTTGTTTATCAAAACAAACTCTACCAAACATGATGACTTGAAGATTAAAGAACAGTAAAAAAGGAACTCGAAAATTGTTCAAGTTCAGTTAATGGAAGTGCCTGTGTTATTTGTTGACTTCAATGTTTTGTCTATGTACATTGATGTGAATGTTGTTGCTTAATTCAGGGACAGCACAATTATGTATTCTCTCTTTTCAGATCCATGTTTA